GTTGGCGGTGGCCGCGTCCTAAACTTTGCCAATTTCCGTGTTGCAGAGACGCAAAAATCTGTCAAAATGGCCCCAAAACTTGAATGGGCTGTTGCCATGGCAACAATTGGTTTTGAGCGGAAAGAAAGCTATTTCAAGGGGTTGTGGGCGAAGTACTATCACTGTACAAAATATGAGCAAAATCGATTTTTGACCCCGCTCACTATTGTTTGATCATTAAAGACATTTCCTCTTTAAAAAATGGCCTACTTTTAGGGACAAGTATACAACAACGACACAAGACCCCAACCTCCACAAGCCCTTATTTGATACACAATACATATATGTACTCCTCTTCAAAGATTGAATTAACATGGCATCCTACTTCGTCATTTCTAGACGTTCAAACATAGCCGTATATGCTAATTTCTGTACATGTCCAAAATATTGCCTACTTTGAGGGACAAGTGCACACCAACGACACAAAGACCTCAACCTCCACAAGTATTCATTTGATATACTATAAATATATGTACTTTCCCGCAAAGATTGGATTCAAATAGCATCTAACTTTGTTCTATCTAGAGCTTCAAACATAGCCGTATATGTCAATTTCTGTACATGTCCAAAATGTGGCCTACTTTTAGGGACAACTGCACACCAACGACACAAGACCCCAACTTCCCCAAGTATTCATTTGATACACAATACATATATGTACTTCCCTGCAAAGATTGAATTCAAATGACATCCTACTTTGTTATTTCTAGAGCTTCAAACATAGCCGTATATGTCAATTTCTGTAAATGTCCAAAACATGGCCTACTTTGAGGGACAAGTGCACAACAACGACACAAGACCCCAACCTCCACAAGTATTCATTTAATAGACAAGACATAGTGTTACGTTGGGTAAAAGATTTTATCAGATTGCTTTCTTTCTTTTATAGATATAGTATCCTGAACATGGCTGAAAATCATATTTTCCCTCAAATTCAAAATTTGACCTACTTGTAAGGACAACCACGTGACAACCAAAGAAGTGCCCAAAGTTTGCAACCATGCATTTTATAGCACATATGTTTATGTATCTATGATTCAAATTTGAAGCAAAAAAAATCACCATCTTCGGACTTATAGCACTTTGAAGTTGGGAAGAAATAACGCTTTTTCATAAGCCTCAAACACTGTATTGTGTTAGGGTTGCCCAGGTCCTTTAAACGAACTTCTTGAAAATTTCAAAGCTATTCTAGAATAGCGGATTAGTTGGTCTTTCATGCCCATACTTTGTTTTTCCATAATATTAAAGCACTTGCTCGTAATCGTGCCTTAAACTATGCCAAATTTCATGTTTTTCACATGACTAAATCAGGGGAAATGGCCCCGAAACTTGTTTGGCCCGTTACCATGGCAACGATCGGTGTTGACCGGAAAGAAAGCTATTTTAAGGGGTTGTGGGCCAAGTACTATCACTGTGCAAAGTTTGAGCCAAATCGATTTTTTGACCCCTGCCACCATTGTTTGATCCTTACAGACATTCGCTCTTAATTACTACAGCATGTACTACTAACGGTCACCGTCACCATTTCAGGTTCTGGACTTAATTTCCTCAAAGTTTCAAGGCTGTTGTGACATCTCTTTTTGAAGTTCCTGAGTGAAAGTTGTCCATGGAAAGTAAAAGTTGTTACCGTAACCCGTTATGAGTACGTTCTTTCCGTGTGTCTTGGAATGTTTGCGTCGTCACTCCATCTTCTTGTCTTAAGACGTCTTTGTGGTTCTTCAAGGACGTTCGTCACTCTTACATTTGGAGTAAAAAGTTGTTTCGTCTTGAGAAGGCCATGGAAGCATGCAGAAACACAAGCAGCAAGGAGTTCTATCTTTGCTGAGGGGGTGTGCGTAGGCGCTAGTATGTAGGACGTGTTGACCAGTATATGGGACAAGCCTGATATGATCTCAGCAATGTATGATCCTCGCAAGGGACAAATGAGACGTTTGATAAGGAAAACCGGAGGGCGCACTTCATACCATCTAAGAGTTATCAGCCATGGCATGTCAGCGGTTCGGTATTACACCGTTTCCTAGGTCGTACCGAGCAGATAACGGTGCACACAGGTAGCAACGAGTTTTAAGCATTACAACTGNATATAAGTTGATAAAACTTGAGTGTGCCGTCACCATGTCTGGTGATTACATGTTGGAATAAAAAAAAGGTACTTATGTTTGGAAATTGCCTGGGACTTGGATCAGGTCAAATGTACTTTCCAGTTGCACTGATTTAGGCTTTGGGTCATTTTCGGCGTGTTTTAGGCATTTCTTTTATCGTTGAAGAGATTCATTTGTCACGTATAGATACAGTTACACTAGAGAATTCTTTCAACAGTGACAAGTTGGAAAGGTAAGGATACTGACCTTCAAATTTTCGGTGGCTATCAGTCCATCTTGTTCATTTTTTAAAATTTCTACTGGTAACTTTTTATGGTAGCTGTCAGGGGGGGGGGAATGGATACTCTCTTGCCAATTTGATACTGTCTTCGCAACCACCGAAAGATCTGCTTGGAGATTAATTAGGTCTAATGGTTAAAAGTTTTTCCTTTGAAATTGAAGGAATGAAAATTTTTATCCAGTTGTTTGAGTAACAGTTTTCTTAGTTTTGATATCTCATGATCCAGACATGCTAGGGTGACGAAATTTAGATGTTATAGCTCTTGTGCTGGGGATGAAGTGACACAAGTTTGAGTTCCCTAGCTGCTTGCTCTGGAACTGCAGGTGCGTTTGTTTAAAAATATTTAAAGGAGGATAACTCAAGAACCGATTGATGGATTGTCGTAATTTTTGGTATGTGGGTAGCTTAAGTGATGCTTGACATAATAATGTTACAATTATGCTAACATGGATGTAATTCATGGTGTAATGAAATATAACTTATTCAAATAAGGATCTCATTTGCATGATCTATGAGGAAATGCTATAATGGCATTCTTTGTTAAGATAAGACTGTCGTTTGGTGTTGAATATGATCAACAGATATAATTCGTGCAATTGAGGATCCTATTTGCACAATTATGGGGATTAAGATATAATTTCTTAGGCTAACATCATTTGGCGAAGGTATAAGATCGTAGAACTCTAGTTTTGCAACTGTTTTGTACGATTTATAGTATGGTTGAAACTTTTTTTTCAGAAACGGCCAAAAATTCATGCGCCCATCCATATAATCAAATCAACATGGCCTTATCTTAAAATTTCTAGTCTAAAAAGTCCCACCGTTACAGGTATGCAGTGCGGCCCATGCAGGCATTGAAGAAGTTGGGGGTGTCTGGCCCCACCCCACTGCCCCTTATTGGAAACCTGCACCATACTATACAAGCGGTGAGGGATATTGTTGTTCTGTTTTGCTCAACATTAAAAAAAAAGATTATTAAATCGATAAGCATCAAAAGGTATTTTGATAGCTTTTGATTAATAATATTAAGATATTATAATTATAATATAATTTAATCATAATTATAATACAATTATAATATAATTATATTATAATTATAATACTAATATGATTTATATATTATATTATATCATATCATATAATACCATATTATAATTATAATATTAATATAATTATAATATAATAATAATATTATAATATTATTAATATAATATTTTAATACGGGACGTATATGAAAATTCCTTAAAAGGAATATGTAGTCTTCATATACTCGTCCCACATACATCTATAGTGGAAAAATTAACGGCACAAACCATTTCATATGTTAAATTCCGGGTTTGCTTACGGACAGGTATGGAATCTTCTTTCACTAACAGTCTTAGGCCACACCAATTTAATTTGTTGGTTCACAGATTCACCCGCTTCATTTTTTCTGATTTGCAAAAAAACAAACAAAAACAGCCTCTGAATCAACTCCAAAATGCTCATATTTTGGTCCTAACAGTTAAAGGAGGTCCCTTCTCTTCAGGGTTGTTACATTTTTTCCATCCATTAATGCAGTGGTTTGATTAATAAAATAAAGGTTTGAGATTTAATGTTTGAATTACAAACTAGCCTGGTATGTTGACTTCATAGCTTCTATCATGCCATTTGGGGCTATCATAGGATGCCTTGGTCTGTTTTTGTTTTTATTTTTTTTGCCCTGTCACTTCATATTTTTTCTGAAAATAAATCCGAGACCAACAAATCAAATTGGTGCGACCTAACATTAAAGAAAATGCGATCTATACTTTTCCAGGGCTTGTACAATATCGAGGCTCAGGCATATGGTATGGCCACATATGGTAAAGTGTACGGGTGAGTACTCAACATACATATAAAGTTCTTACTATGAAATATGCATTGGTAATGGGACATTATGTAATTTTTCGCACCAAACGTTGTAATATTCTCATAGAAAAATTGTGATTGTAATTTACTACAAATTCTCATTTTCATCATATCTGTGCAATTATCTCGCATTTCTGACGTGTGGTTGGCACTTAAAAATAGCCCACAACGGGCGAAATCAGTTTGTGGTACATTCACAATTTCCAGAATGTAAATACTGTATGGGGACAGTAATCGTAAGGAAATACCTCCATTTCCTGCATTGAAATTATTTATTGGGTTAAAGAAATAAATGACCATAAACCAGAAATAAATGACCATACATTTTGTATCTCTGCGCTCTCTCTGCAACCTGAAATTGGTCGGAGCGTGGAGAGAGCGCCGAGGTTGCCATGTTTTGTATCTAAATTAATGTTGGGGCCTTTGCGCGCTCTCATGGCGCTAGCTTCGCGCTCTCGCTGCGCTCATTATCCTCCGTGCTCTCAAGGCGATGGTATGACCCAGTTCCATACCATCGCCGAGGTGACGGCGCTCATGCCGCTCATGGCGCCCTCATCGCGCTCCCATGGCGATCTCTTGGCGCTCTCACCGCGCTCTGGCCAATTTCATTTCGCAGAGAGAGCGCCGTCTAAGTGGTATGGGGGTATTACGCACAGTACGCACCGTTACGTACAGGGCACGCGCGTCGCCCGTATTGGCTCGTACGGGGGTGAATCCACAGCCCGAACGCAGAGAAAGTTTTACATGCACGTAAAGTGCCACGACGTGTCTGCGTGCTACGTGTCTACGTAGGCGGTACTCACCACTTAAGCCTTGGTCACAACCCGCCACACGCGCAACTGCTACCGCAACTGCTGACTACGTGCAAAACGTGGGCAAATTTTGGTGATCCGTAAGTGGTGCGTACCACCTCCGTACGGAATGTAACGGATTTGGGAGCACGCAGGCACGTCGTAGCACTTTATGAATGAATGAATGAATGAATGAATGAATGAATGAATGAATGAATGAATGAATGAGTGAGTGAGTGAGTGAGTGAGTGAGTGAGTGAGTGAGTGAGTGAGTGAGTGAATGAATGAATGAATGAATGAATGAATTTTTATTTACGTGTCTTGCGACTTTTGTCGAAATGAATGGCAGTATCTGAGAATCCTGATGTGTTAGCTAGCCCGGCAAGACAGCCCAGATGGACTGGCAAGGCCAGGTACCCAGCCTTTTCCGTACACCTGAGCATTGAAACTCCTCGCTTCACAGTCAATAAGTTTTTAGCCTTTATCCCCGTTGTCTTACCTTATGAGCATATAACGTCGCAGTCTGTTAGTCAACAGAATTATCTTCACATATACATTAGCTTTGTGTAGTAACGGAGCTTTTGCCAAAACAGTACAGAATGAAGATAATTGTTTATTGTTGAGGTATGGCGATTAATTGTTTATTGTTAAGGTATTACGTAGGCCACTCGCAATGCTGAGAAAACTTAAATCAAGTACAGGTAAGTACAATGCTATTTATAGGAGAGTATCTAATATGTTGGTTTGTTGACTAGCTGATTGTTGACAATTTTGAAGCAATTTGACAACAATAATGTTACGACACACCACACACAAGTTAAATACACCAACTTTATTTAAATAGTATCCTTTATTGGTGTGGATAACCAGAATGAATAATAGAAAGGCCACATTTACGCTGGAGCAAATACAAAATATTTCAGTCATACCCCTCCCCATTAAATTTAAATGGACTGTTACAAACTCACACCTGTGCAAAAGTAGAACAAGATTATTTCTGTCCAAGGAAAGTTACATGCCAAGTCATCCACGTTTAAAATGAAGCCTTCCTAACATTTCACCAATTAAAAAACGTTGTTCTCGCTAGTCAAGAATGGACTTTTCCATCTGCCTCATGCCCGAAAACTATTATTTTCGCAAAATTACGGACATTTTGTGTAATCATACCTATCCAATACTCCCCTCTTCAAGAAAAAATTCTTCCAGTTAGGTAGAAGAAGAAGAAACATCATGAAAAACAATATATTTCAGCCATACCATTGTATGACCGAACTATATTAATAAAAATACTACTTTTTTTCTCCTAGATTTCTAGATACAACAACAAAATTGAATCACCAGTGAAAAGTTACAGGTTCTGAGATTTGTTACAATACTACAAATATGAAAAAGTGTAAAAACTACGACCTATATTACTGGACAGGTGTAAATTCGTAAATTCGTAATTTTTTTTTTATATTTTAGACTTTGTACAATACATTGCTCTTCTACTAGAGTTCCAGACTTAGGCCGTCCATAATTATCACACAGAACAACACTCTTTCCCTGTTCTTGGTAGGGCAATCATTCATAGAATCAAAGTTGGAACAAATGAATTATTAAAGTTAAACATTGCAAATACAACAATGACACCGTCAATAAAAAAGTTACAAATTCTGAAATAGTTATTACCACAATTATTACAATACTACAAGTTCAACATGACAAACTACAACTCATTTTGAAACAGACTCAACATTGTTGCATCTAGAATAAAACTTTATATCTTTGTACCTTCTGCAGTACATTGCTCTGCTACTAGAGTTCTAGACTGAGATAGTCCATGATTATACATTGTATACTTTACACAGAATGATAAAACAATCTTTCCATCATTTATTATACGGCAATCATTAAAGTTAGAACAACTATTAAAGGCAAACTTTGCAAAATATAACCATGACACCATCCCTAATCACAAGGTAAAGATTCTGAAATAGTTATAACCACAATTGTTACAATACTTTAAATTAAAAATGAAAAACTACAGCTGATGTCACTGGTGCAAAATCTCATTCATTTTGAAAAAAAAAACCCTCAATATTGATGCCTTTGAAATGAAACTTTACAACTTGTATCTGCAGTACATCGCTCTGCTGCTAGAGCTCTAGACTTAGATCGTCCATAGTTATACATTGTATACGTTACACAGAATAACAAAACACCTTTTTCCTCTTCTCGGCAGTTCTGTGATTATAGGAATAACAATAACTGTTTAAATGACTGTTCCTGCACAGTATGGCTTGTCAAATCTAATATTTGACTCGTTTACAATTGTTACAAAATATTACACAATAAAAGGCTCTCAACCAAAACTTTTATATATAGTTCAAGCAACTTTTGCAAATGAATTGTCTCATCGTCTCATTACTATGTCCTAGTAAATGACAAGGTACAAAAAAGTTACTAAATGTACAGCATGAACAGTGTAAGCCATCATGGACATCTGCATCCTTGTCTTCAGAAGTTTATTTAAGCCACACCTGAATTTAATTTGAAGGATCAAATATTTGTAGGTGTTTCACATGAAAATTTTAATAAAAATGCAGAGCCGGAAGGCTCTGCATCGTGTATCTATCGTGTTTCCTACAGAACATTTAGCTGCGAGCCAGTCGGGCCTGCGCCAAATGATGGATTTTAAGCATCCAAGTATTTAGTCACGGCCTGAGACTGACCCTGACTGTTCTGACTGATCATCATCACAAGTCATTACAGTACCTGTGGTGTTTGTGTTGAATTCAGAGGCCCGACACTGACCCTACTCATTGTCCCTACTCACTACAACCTACGACACTGACCCTACTCACTACAATCTTGTTGTAGTGCAGGTCCAACTCTTGTAGCTGGGGCAGGTTTGCAAATGTACCAGAAGGAATGGTAGTTATCTGGTTGCTTCTTAGGATCAACACCTCTAGTTCGGGAAGTTTTGTAAATGTACCAGAAGGGATGGCAGTTATCCTGTTGTGGTACAGGTCCAACTTTTGTAGCTGGGGCAGATATGCAAAGGTACCAGAAGAGATGGTAATTATCCTATTGAATCCTAGGTACAGATATTGTAGCTGTGGAAGATTTTCAAATGCGCCAGCTTCAATCTGTTTTATCTGGTTGTGCATGAGGCACAGTGTATGCAAATTCTTATACTGTAACAGGTCAGACTGTTTCACACTTGTAATATAATTACTACGTAAAATAAACTTAGAGATGGATTTTCGCAGGTTCTGAGGAATGCTGCTGAAGTCCCTTCTGCAGGGTGATGATGGCCATCTACAGGTGCAGTCTATCGATGGTGGTTCATAGTCAGCGTCTGGCATGTTGGGCTCCTTCAGGATGATCAGAAGGAAAATCAGCAAGTGTCGCAGCTTTCGTCCCATGGTGCCCTGCCACCTGAACAGAACAGCAAGTTCCTCAGTAACGCCACACCGACTTTCTGACTTATGTTTTTTTGGTGACGCCTCCTAGCGTATTATGTAGCCAATTGCAAAAAAATCTAAGACCTGGCACGCGTATGCAAGGAAGTCAATATTCTGTTTTTTTCACGATAACTTGAGAAGCTATGGATGGATTGTCATGAATTCGAAACTTGGCAGGTGGTGGGACATAGAGACTGTTTACAATTATATATAGCCAAATTTTTTAAAAACTCAGCCGTTTGGGTACAATAGACCCCTTTCCAATACCGGCGCCATTTTGAAATCCGCTCTCGCGACAGCACGATCCGGCGCGAGCGCGCGAGATCTGAACTCAGGCGGTAAGAAATCCCGCTTGCCGTGCGTTGACAATGGCATCTTCGTTCGAAACTAACTATCGTTACAAATCTATCGCCATGGCAATTATTTTTAGTTGCCAGCTGAATTGTGAGGAGCTTACAATTGGTTGGGTTGAATTGCAAGGGTCTGGATCGGCCACCATTCGGCGCTAACTCAGGTTTAACCCAGAGCGTATTTTTAACGTGCATAAGGTGTGGCTTTGCTCGGATCTCAGAATGTAAAGAGAAAATACCAGCTGAAAAATCATCATATAGCAGAATTTGTTTTCAAACAGAAGTTGAAAAGTGCGGTGTCTTTTTGGATTCATGGAATTGAGGTGCTCTTTTGGATGAAGAGAAATGCGGTGCTGTCATGGACAGCATTCAAGAAGAATGAGTGCCTTTTTGGATTAGGAGAAGAGTGAACTTCAAAATAAAATGTCCAATCTTTGTTCATCAATCAATTGTTCGCGGGCTTCACGGTAGAAGCATGCATATGGCGGCCGTAGACAGCTGCCTCCAGAGGCTTCTGTCAGAAGCAAGGAGTCTCAGGTGTCCTTTGTCGGATACTTTAAAACTTTATTTGACTTCTGTAGCTTGATAGCAAAACAAAAACTTTCATCTCAACAATCAGACATAACAGCTCCGCCTCCTACACAGTCGGATTGCTGGTTCACAAAAGCAAGGGGAAGAAAATGTAGTCAGGCTCAAATTTTTCTCCCATTTTGCTCAGGTTGCTTTCACGTCTTTCTGGCTCTACCTACACCTTCACAAAAACTCAGCCGAATGATGAGAAAAATTAGCACTTGTCTTTGATATGTTTCTCATTGTACTTCTGAAATATCATTACGAACAGTCGTAAATAGATTGTTATTTTTTGGGCGACGTCTCAGGGGGGAGCCTAATGGTACAGTATTGTGTGCAGTTCGCAAGGATTCTAGAAATTGTACAGGCATTTTATCCTCAGGCATGGAATCTCCACAGAAATGTCCCAGCTCTGTTTGTTAGCATGCCCACATTCCTGGAAACCCTTGGGAGAACCTGTCTGCCGGATTCCGGGGCTCGTTCGCTGTTCACCCAGGGAAGAGTAGGGTACAAGGCGTCCTCAAAATTATGAAATCATGGCAGTGCCATGCAAACAATAACCCTAACAGCAACCACCGTCGCCATGGCAATCATCCATCGCAGTGCCTCCTGAATTGTGTTGTAGTTTGCAATATGAACAACTGTCTAAAACATTTGACCGCTTTAGCATTGACAGTATCATGTGATCATTCATCTTTAAAATATTGTACTCATGATATCTGATAGTGATATAGACATACATTGAAAAGAGAGCAAGGAAAGTTAACATACAAATACTCTTCGGAGGTAAGAATTTGAAACTCAATTTTACAACCGTTGCTGCTACAACTAAATGTTATCTTGAGCAAGATGTAAGAAATCCTTAAACGTTTTCTGACAGCCGGGCTCTCTGACATCTATCTATCTGCCCTTGCCGACAGTATGAAAACAACACAATCTTCCATCCACCCCAAGGCCACTCTAATTTTTGTTGTTTTTAGATTTTTAAAGAAAAAATATGAAGCGATGGGGCGAAATAAAAAAAAAAAAGACCAAGGCACCACATGATAGCCGGAAATGTTAGAATATGATCCATGAAGTGAACATACCAGGCTGGTTTATAATTAAACAATAGATTAACTTTTAATGAAACTTGCATTGTTATATTGAAAAAGTTTAACAACTAGGAAGAAAAGGACTTTCTTCAACCGCTGGGGCCAAAACATGTCTTTCATTGAGCATTTTGCAGTTGATTTAGAGCCAATTTTTTTGCAAATCAGAAAAATGGACAAGGCGAATCAGAGAAATAACAAATTAAATTGGTGTGGCCTAACATCTGCGTACTAAGAGTTGTTAGGTGTTGCAGACAGTCTTAGAACATCCTTTAAGCTGTACTGATTATCCATTGGAAGTCACGCACCTTTCAAGCCAATCAAAATAGGTTAAGTTGATCCCTTCCGGACAGGAACTCGTGTAGAAATACCTGTGGCACAGGTACGTTGCTGTTGTTCTTGCAGGGTGTGTCTGCCTCCCTTGGTAGTAGATCCGAAAATGCGACAAACAACCTAAGATTAGTCTTACGTACATGAGGGGGTTGATTGTCTGAGCGATGGTTCCTAGAAAAGAGATTAGTCAGTGTGTTTTCAAGAAGAAGAAGAAGAAGGAAAGCTAGTCAGGTGCTTTTTTTTAAGATGGGAGGTGCGTTTTGGATAAAGCGAAGTCAGTTGCTTGAGTGAAAAGACGCGCAGTGCTTATGTGGATTTAGGGGATTTCGTTTCTTGTGCGGACAAAACAAGGACATATTGGTGCTTTTTGGGATCAGGAGAACAATCAAAAGTCCAATCTCTTGTCTGAGACCTGTGGGCAGCAGCAAAGCACAAGCTTTCATTTTCTCGACATTTCATTGTGAACTAAAAGGTTGGATGTTGGATTGGACACTAGGAAGTTGGATGCTACTAACTTTGATTTAAAACTAAGACAAGAATTCGGAGATCTCATACCTCCATGAAATTTGTAGAGTTTTTGTAAATGTTATTTATGGCTTTCTGAACTCAAATAACAATATTTTGCGTGTGGAATTCCTATCTTTTATTCCATTTTCATAAGAACTTAATGCAAAGTTGTACATATCATAATCGGTACATATTAGAGCCAAAAGTGCACAAAGTGAACTCAAATTGTCAAAAGTACATAAATGCAACTCAAAAGTATATGAAGTCAAATGAACTTAAACATGTAAGCGAGGAAAGAGAAAACCAAAGGAAGAGTTTATGAATAAATGTTTTTACGTTTTTTACGTTAAAATGTTTTTAAGCTTGAGGAATATATAATGCAATTTCCAAAACACACTCATTAAATAACCAGTGTAGTTTTGTTTCATCTCTTTTCCATATGATATTGGGTTTCTTTATGAATATTTTCTCAAATAGTACTTTAAGTGCATGTAAAACTTGCGTGTGGGCTGCGGAATCACCCCCCCCCTCCGTACTAGTCAGTACGGGCGACGCGCGTTTGGTGTACGTATCGGTACGTACTATACCTAAGAAGCACATGTAAGTACGGCCTGCATACGGTAAAGTGGCAATCGCACAGAGATCGTACATTGTAAGCACGTACAACTGACTTACCACTTGCGCAACGAACGATTCACATTGACGCAACCGCTCACGGCCAGACGTGGTGTGCAGACCACATGCTTACACCTTGCGAAACCGTGTGAGTGACGTGTGAGTGACGTGCGTTGACGTACTGCTCATGCCAGTCCTTCCCCACGTTTTCACAAAAACTTAGCAGACGTGGCCTCCCAAAAATGCGTACGGACGAAAAGCACGCACGGCGGGTTGTGACCGAGGCTTTACGGATTCCAAAAATTTGCCCACGTTTTGCATGTAGACAGCACGCAATTGCACGTGTGGCGGGTTGTGCCCCTGGCTTAAATCGTCGTTATAGGTTATAAACATCTGTTCAAACATTACAATTTTGTCGCTCAGAGTTTACAACGGACGTGTTCCAGTCCTGGTGATTTCTGACCCAGAGATGCTGAGAGAGATATTCGTCAAACAGTTCCACAAGTTCACTAACCGCGCGGTGAGTAAACACACCTGACTCATTTTACTTCAATGTGACTTCCATTGGGGGTTAATCCATTTGGTTATCACACGGGCTTCTAAATGTTCCATAGAAAAAATCGAGCGCATTTCGCCTGAAAATTTAAACAACGGATTCGGACTTTGGAATTTATGTTGGACTGGATTTTTTGTTGTTGTTTATGGACACCAAATTTTGGCACATTTCGCACTGAAAGATGTTTTTCAAGCCTTATGGTAGGCATAGATAAACTGCAACACGGTGTTGTCCGTATCACCCTCGGTCCCAGCCCTACCACGGGTTGGATCTCGACCGACTGACCGACCCTTGGTTGGGCTGGTACCTCGGGTGATACGGAATACACCGTGCTGTGTTCTATATTTACATGATTTTATCCCAGGCAATTCAGGCATTTTGCATGACTTTCCCTGACTACGCTCGGGTGTAAAACCACTGGTACTTGACTTCGGTTGTGGAGGCGGTGGGAGGAGAGGGATGGGCTCCGCCTTCCAAATTGATACCGTGCCCTTGACTCTGTATATAACGTTACCCACTGCTCCTGCGGCCTGAAAAACCTTTACCTTTAATAAATTTGTCCAATTGTATCTAAGGCCATGTTGATTTGATTATATGGATGACATCCTCTGGGAACCCCAAAACTGATGCGCGTGTGCGAATAAAAAAAAAGTTTGGCCAAAAAAAGTTCCTTTCATTATGAAATTTATGTGGTTTTGAAGGTTGAATAAATGATACAGAGTATGGTTTGGCGAATGATCTACTCGTCAAATTCATTTCTTTACATTTTCCTCTTTTTTGTTTGATTTTGGCATTCTACAACATTGGTATCATTTTCCAATGTTTTTTTTTCTCAACTTACAGCATATATTTTCTCATTTTCGAACTGTCTTGTACGATTTACAGTATGGTTCAAAACTTTTTTTTGGAAACGGCCAAAAATTCATGCGCGCGTTGATGTCTTCCATATAATCAAATCAACATTGCCTAATTGTAGCCAGAAGGGATGGCGCTGGACGTCAAGCCGCAGAGTCGCATGCTGACTCAGCTGTTAGACGAGGATTGGAAGAACGTGCGGAGTACCATCAGTCCGGCCTTCAGCGGGGGCAAACTTAAACAGGTACAAACATGGCTGCATGTCCAAACAGTCATCAGAGTCATCTCTGTATGTGGATTCAACGGTCCGATGCAGTTACTTATATGCATGTACTTGATTCATAATGTTTGTCACGATTCTTCTGTAAATTCATCTATCTAAACTATTTATTTATCTATCTCTGGAACGAACATGGTTGATTTCAAAGGGAGCCAATGAGAACAAGATACAAAGAAAGAAGCTAATGCAACATAAAATGATTATGCATAGAGGCCACACCAATTTAATTTGTTGGTTCTCGGATTTTTTCAGAAAAAATATGAAGCGACAGGGCGAAAAAAATAAAAATAAAAACAGGTGTAGGCATCCTATTATAGGCTTAAATGCTACAAAATGAGCCATGAAGCCAACACAAAAGGCTGGCCAGGGTTGAAATTTAAACATTGAATTTTGAACTTTTAAGCAAACCACTGCAATGATAGATGGGAAAACTGTAACATCTAGGAAGAAAAGGACTTTCCTCAACTGTTGGGGGGCAAAACATGAGCATTTTTCAGTTGATTCAGGACCAGATGCAATTTTTTTTTTTTTTTTGCAAATCAGAAAAAAACGAAGAGGCGAATCCGAGAACCAACAAATTAAATTGGTGTGGCCAGAAATACAAAATAAAATAAATTTAATAATCACTCAATTCAATCATAATGAAAAGATACATGTAAAACCTTCGATGAAGGTTAGACATCCAGGTAATACGATATGCCAAAAAACAGTTACTCAAGCAACTGGATATGATTTTGAAAACGTCAGACGTTTCAGCTAGTATCCACTAGCTTTCGTCAGTGACTGAGAGACCAGAGGGGAAAGCAGGTTTATATACACAACCTGTTGATTGATATGCAAATAAAGTGAAGACAAATTTTTGGAAGTCGAAAAAGGAACAAAAGTCAGACAAGTCAAGACAAGATGATGCAAATTAGTCTGAAAGCTCCTGTTATACAGGACAGGAGCTTAAGTGTTGTCTGTCCTCGGGGCTGGGAGTGCCAAATCCCAAGTGCCGGAAAGAATGTACAACCCCACCCTCAACAGGGAAGGGGGGCTACGGGTCGATCTTTCCGGCACTTGGGATTTGGCACTCCCAGCCCCGAGGACAGACAACACTCAAGCTCCTGTCCTGTATAACAGGAGCTTTCAGACTAATTTGCATCATCTTGTCTTGACTTGTCTGACTTTTGTTCCTTTTTCGACTTCCAAAAAAAATTTGTCTTCACTTTATTTGCATATCAATCAACAGGTTGTGTATATAAACCTGCTTTCCCCTCTGGTCTCTCAGTCACTGACGAAAGCTAGTGGATACTAGCTGAAACGTCTGACGTTTTCAAAATCATATCCAGTTGCTTGAGTAACTGTTTTTTGGCATACGTGTAATTGGTTAATGGTATTTGAGATGTTCAAAACTTTTTGAATTTATAGATTCTGATCATCAAAACGACATACATAATGTTGTAGGTGTTATGAACCAAATAAACGCAAGTTACGCAACAGACATACAGTATAATACAAAATATTCCACTAGACACTAATGGTTTGATCTTGTCTCGGCAGATGACAGAAGCTATGAACAGTTGTGCCGACCTGCTGGTGGGGAATTTTGGCAACTTTGCAGAAAAAGGAGAATCCTTCGACACAAAGGAGTAGGTATTGACCCTCTTTTTTATCCGTGTGTGATCATCATTTAATTTGCACCATTTTATGTAAAACAATTGCTAAATAGAAAATATTTGACACCCTATACTTTAAAGATAAAAGATAGTTCTGATAGTTGGAAGAGATATGTTCTGTTATGTTTTCCCAGTATTCCTCTCACTAAACTATATCCTGTTTTTTGTCCACAAAAATTATCCACTATACAGAAAGGTAACAAATGCAAATGCACAATGTTTACCTTCGCATATGGTCTGTTCTCTTAATTCGTACTAAAATACATCCATATATATGGTCAGACAGGAGTATAAATCCCTCCTACTATAAAACTGCAACATTATGTAACCCAACACCAGTTACCATGGTGAGAGACATCAACAAATCAGGTCGTTGGCCAGGTCAGAGGTCAGTGTTTGGAACGGAAGAAGAAGAGGAAACGTAGAAAAACAATATATGTTTTCCTTCAGTAAACATAAAAAATTAATATAGATTTCAACAATTGGGAGAGAATGAATGATATGTCACCCCCTTCTTTCTAGACTAACAGGTGCATTCACCACTGACGTCATCGCCCGGACAGGGTTTGGTTTGGACGTTGATTCCCAGCGGAACCCACAAGACCCGTTTGTCGTCTACTCAAAAAAGGCTTTCAGTTTTAACTTCTTGAATCCACTAATCTGGCTGTTTTGTAAGTTTCCCATTACATTTTTATATTTCTTATGTACAATAACTTTAAATCTTGAATTTCAGATGCCTTTGATGCTTTATGCTACTATTAGATGCAAATGGAAAATGCATTCAATTTTAATGACTTTGGAGTGAAATCGAAATAAACCACCCCTAGATTCGGTTATGCAGTCCATACCATGTACCATTTTGGTGCAGTTATGCTTCATTTTGGTGAATGTTTAAGATGTTTTATTATTTCTGCCATTGAATGTTCTATTTTCAAAATAGATTCATCATGAAAATTGTTAAATAACTACACATTGTTTATCCACCAGTTACATACAACCAAAAGTTCATTTCTTAACTTATGTTCTTATCATGTACTCTCATGATTGAAAATCGGTTTGTAGATCAAGTCTTTTTATTCAATGTAATTGATACATATAATCTGTCCCTCATTTTATCTCTCCAGTCATGTTTCCCAGTGTCATGAAGCCAATTTTGGAGAAGTTTAACTACAACTTTATGGCCAAGGATGTTACTGACTTCTTTTACAACATACTTGAGCAGGTTATGGGGATGAGGCAGAGTGGACATGTAAGTGCCCGAATCTGATCTAAATAAAAGTTGTGTGGCGTAATGGCAGAGTGCTCGACTTAGAATCAAGAGGTCCCGGGTTCGAGTCCTGATATGTTACCGATCTTGTGCCCTTAGAAAAGGCACTTTACACAACTTTCCTCACTTAACTCAAGTGAAAATGAGTATTGTCTGTCCTGTATTTGTTCTATTTGTGGGACACAACACCCGCAACAGCTGCCTTTGTTCCACTTGTATTGTACTGTAAGTTACAATTTCATTAAATCAAATCAAATCAGACACAGAACATGCAGTTTTTACCTCCGGGGAGGAGACATCCTTCCACGGAAGGGTTTTGTGAGAGATTTAGATTTTCATGTTCGCAGCTGTTTCTCGCGTTTGGGTGGACGGATTCTTTTGAGACTCGGTATAATGTTTTGCTATTGGGCTGCAGATGATGCACGTTCTTTTGTTTTTATTGTATATGTGTTTTCGGGCGTGAAAATGGTGCCTTTTGGTGGCCCCAAAACACCCCTTTGAGCGTGAAAGTGGTCGCGACCGTTGACCTTTGGCGTGTTTGAGCTATTCTCGGTCTGGTCCACATATATGACCCCTCACACAGAGGGGTGTCTGGTCTCGATAAATTCTTTGTTTAAAACCCTATATAAAAATATACAATAAAAAACCCGGAGGTATAAAATCTCAGATTTTACTTGTTATGGAATAAAGTTTGTTTGTATTTTAAGGGTCGTGTGGACTTCATGCAGCTGATGATGGACGCTCACAAGGATGATGACGTGGACAGCAGTGACACCCAAGAGGGCAAAGTGCAAGGAACTAAGAAACGTATGTCTGTCACCTCTCGTATTCTTGAACAAATTCCAGTTTGTATTTATGATCCTTATTCATATTTTGCATTCCACTCCAATTTTACTACGTGGACTAACAGGTATAGGAGGGAAACATATCATTCTGTGTACAGTTTTGTCTTCTCCTCCTCCTGCGATTTGGTCAAATAAATTTAATTCTCTTGTGCCAAATGACCTGAAACTCATTATGAAGTTAAATAAGGTACAGTGGGCAAATAGTCATGCACTCGTAGTCAGTTTGATCATTTTCAAATCCATGTTTTCTTTTTCATTTTCATACCAAAATTGTCCTCAGCACTGGTCTATTAAAATGTTGTAAAATTTGGTATAACCAATCACTTCAAAATGATTTATTTCAGCATATTTCTCCCATTTTCAGACCCAAAAATTTACCAAATTTTGCACAGGCATACCTTTCATATTATAGATGGGGGAGGAGTAATGTTGAAGATCCCTTTTTTGCATAAGGATTATTTTCGGAAGAGTCCATTGTTGTGTATGGGGGTCAAATTTGGAAAATACCAATTTGAAGTAGGGTGATGTTGGGTTTGATATACTCCATATATAGGCTGGTCCATTTCTGCAAAAGGTTCTTCAGAGCACAGGGAGGGAGTGAAATATGCTGTATTTGCTTGCGTATGTTGTCTTTGCAATAGGAAGGTTGTTTTTGGCGACGCCTCAGGGGGGAGCCTAATGGTACAGTATTGTGTGCAGTTTGCAAGAATTCTAGGAATTGTACAGGAATTTTGTCCACAGGCATGGAATGTCCAGAGGAATGTCTCCCAGCTCTGTTTGTTGACATGCCCACATTTCTGGAAACCCTTGGGAAAACCTGTCTGCCCCGGATGCCCTACATGTACTTTCTGTGACACTGGGGCTTGTTCATTATACACTCAGGGGAGGGGAGGGTACCAACTCAAAATCATGAAATTATGGCAGTGCCATGCAAACAATGACCATAACAGCAACCACCGTTGCCATGGCAATGTATGTTTTCATTGCCGGTCTTGTGCCATGATTCTGATTCCAGCCCTGAGTAAAGACGATGTTGTGGCGAACGCGTTTCTGCTGTTTCTCGCTGGTTACGAGACGACGGCGACCGCCATGGCATTCACCCTGTACAACCTGGCACTGCACCAGGAGGCACAGGACAGGGCCAGGCAGGAGATCAAACAAGTCATGGAGGGCAGGGTACGTTGCATTCTGAAACATCCTCCATTCCCTTGAAAACATGATATTTAAGAGTGAATGTCTGTAAGGTTCAAACAATGGTGGCAGGGGTCAAAAAATCGATTTGGCTCAAACTTTGCACAGTGATAGTACTTGGCCCACAACCCCTCAAAATAGCTTTCTTTCCGGTCAGCACCGATCGTTGCCATGGTAACGGGCCAAACAAGTTTCGGGGCCATTTTCCCTGATTTAGACATGTGAAAAACATGAAATTTGGCATAGTTTAAGGCACGATTACGAGCAAGTGCTTTAATATTATGAAAAAACCAAGTATGGACCTAAAAGACCAACTAACCCGCTATTCTAGAATAGCTTTGAAATTTTCAAGAAGTTCGTTTAAAGGACCTGGGCAACCCTAACACAATACAGTGTTTGAGGCTTATGAAAAAGCGTTATTTCTGCCCAATTTCGAAGTGCTGTAAGTCCAAAGATGGTGATTTTTTTTGCTTCAAATTTAAATCATAGATACATAAACATATGTGCTATAAAATGCATGGTTGCAAACTTTGGGCACTTCTTTGGTTGTCACGTGGTTGTCCTTAGAAGTAGGTCAAATTTTGAATTTGAGGGAAAATATGATTTTCAGCCATGTTCAGGATACTATATCTACAAAACAAAGAAAGCAATCTGATGAAGTCTTTTGCCCAAAGTAACACTAGGTCTTGTCTATTGATTGAGTACTTGTGGAGATTGGGTCCTTGTGTCGTTGGTGTGCACTTGTCCCTCAAAGTAGGCTATATTTTGGACATGTACAGAAATTGACATATTCGGCTATGTTTAGAGCTCTAGAAATAACAAAGTAGGATGTCATTTGAATTCAATCTTTGCAGGGAAGTACATATATGTATTGTGTATCAAATGAATACTTGTGGAGGTTGGGGTCTTGTGTGGTTGGTGTGCACTTGTCCCTAAAAGTAGGCCATGTTTTGGACGTACAGAAATTGACATATTCGACTATGTTTAGAGCTCTAGAAATAACAAAGTAGGATGTCATTTGAATTCAATCTTTGCAGGGAAGTACATATATGTATTGTGTATCAAATTAATACTTGTGGATGTTGGGTTCTTGTGTTGTTGGTGTGCACTTGTCCCTCAAAGTAGGCCATATTTTGGACATGTACAGAAATTGACATATACGGCTATGTTTAAAGCTCTAGAAAGAACAAAGTTAGATGCTATTTGACTTCAACCTTTGCGGGGAAGTACATATATATGTATATATATATATATAGTGTATCAAATGAATACTTGTGGAGGTTTGGTCTTGTGTCGTTGTTGTGTACTTGTCCCTAAAAGTAGGCCATATTTTGGACATGTACAGAAATTAGCATATACGGCTATATTTTAAGGTCTAGAAATGACGAAGTAGGATGCCATTTTAATTCAATCTTTTTAGAGAAGTACATATATGTATTGTTTATCAAATAAGGGCTTGTGGAGGTTGGGGTCTTGTGTCGTTGTTGTATACTTGTCCCTAAAAGTAGGCCATTTTTAAGAGTAAATGTCTGTAATGATCAAACAATAGTGAGCGGGGTCAAAAATCGATTTTGCTCATATTTTGCACAGTGATAGTACTTCGCCCACAACCCCTTCAAATAGCTTTCTTTCCGCTAAAAACCCATTGTTGCCATGGCAACAGCCCATTCAAGTTTTGGGGCCATTTTGACAGATTTTTGCGTCTCTACAACACGGAAATTGGTAAAGTTTAGGACGCGGTCACCGCCAAATGTTTTAACGTAACGACAAATACTTCAGGATATTATTAGACCAATGCATTAACTTGTAAGAAATAGGTGTGAAGTTGATGTACAGGCAGATTTCAGTCTTTTGGCAACCTCGAAGTAGGTCATTTTCCGCACTTGTCCCCAAATTTGGATTTTGGGCTGTTTTTGAGCTGATGAAAATACCAAAGTGAATTTATTTTCAGACCCGTTCTTCTACCATGTGTTAGTTATAGTATTGGCTATCACATGGGTGATTTTGAGGGCTTCCTTTTTTGTTCATGTCGTATATGCCTATTTCTGTAAATGTTTAAAATATGGCCTACTTTTAGTGACAAGTATACAACAATGACACAAGACCCCAACCTCCACAAGTATCCATTTGATACACAATACATATATGTACTTTCCTGCAAAGATTGAATTCAAATGACATCCTACTTTGTTATTTCTAGAGCTCTAAACATAGCCGAATATGTCAATTTCTGTACATGTCCAAAATATAGCCTACTTTGAGGGACAAGTGCACACCAACGACACAAGAACCCAACCTCCACAAGTATTCATTTGATACACAATACATATATGTACTTCCCTGCAAAGATTGAATTCAAATGACATCCTACTTTGTTATTTTTAGAGCTTCAAACATAGTCGTATATGTCAATTTCTGTACGTCCAAAACATGGCCTACTTTTAGGGACAAGTGCACACCAACCACACAAGACCCCAACCTCCACAAGTATTCATTTGATACACAATACATATATGTACTTCCCTGCAAAGATTGAATTCAAATGACATCCTACTTTGTTATTTCTAGAGCTTCAAACATAGCCGTGTATGTCAATTTCTGTACATGTCCAAAATATAGCCTACTTTGAGGGACAAGTGCACACCAACGACACAAGGACCCAATCTCCACAAGTACTCAATCAATAGACAAGACCTAGTGTTACTTTGGGCAAAAGACTTCATCAGATTGCTTTCTTTGTTTTGTAGATATAGTATCCTGAACATGGCTGAAAATCATATTTTCCCTCAAATTCAAAATTTGACCTACTTCTAAGGACAACCACGTGACAACCAAAGAAGTGCCCAAAGTTTGCAACCATGCATTTTATAGCACATATGTTTATGTATCTATGATTTAAATTTGAAGCAAAAAAAATCACCATCTTTGGACTTACAGCACTTCGAAATTGGGCAGAAATAACGCTTTTTCATAAGCCTCAAACACTGTATTGTGTTAGGGTTGCCCAGGTCCTTTAAACGAACTTCTTGAAAATTTCAAAGCTATTCTAGAATAGCGGGTTAGTTGGTCTTTTAGGTCCATACTTGGTTTTTTCATAATATTATAGCACTTGCTCGTAATCGTGCCTTAAACTATGCCAAATTTCATGTTTTTCACAAGTCTAAATCAGGGAAAATGGCCCCGAAACTTGTTTGGCCCGTTACCATGGCAACGATCGGTGCTGACCGGAAAGAAAGCTATTTTGAGGGGTTGTGGGCCAAGTACTATCACTGTGCAAAGTTTGAGCTAAATCGATTTTTTGACCCCTGCCACCATTGTTTGATCCTTACAGACATTCGCTCTTAATAACATGAAGTGCGTGTAATGTAAACAAACATGGCTGACTCTTGAACACACTCATATTTTGTCACTTCTACTTCCGAATCCCAAAATGACATTTATTTGTAATGGAGTAGGGTTGATTCAACAACAAACGACCAGAAAATGTCCTTTTTGTGGAAGCTTCTGGATGAATGAATTAATAAACTGGTGTGTTACGCCTAAAGGCGGTTTACCGGTTATGCGAAACAAACAAACAAAACAAACAAACAAAATGAATGGATGATAGTTATGATGACATCGTTGTTTTACAGGACCTAGTGAACTATGAGGCTGTCCACAGCATGCCGTATCTGGACATGTGTATCAGCGAGACTCTACGCATGTATTCTCCTGCTGCCAAGTAAGCTTCACTGCACGAAAAGTGTGATAAGGCCATGATAATTGTATGGACTCAATTGTATGGACTGATTTGCTTCCTTTAAAAAAAAGTTTTCGACCATACTGTAATTGTACAAACTGCTGTAAAATGTGCAAATATATGATGTGAAATGGCAAAAAAATATTGGAAAACAAGACAAATGTCGTAGAATGCCAAAATCAAGTCCAAAGAAAGAAAAGAAATTGGTAAGAAATGAAAATGAAAAGTCAATCATTATATATAAGCGCCGCCATCGAACATAAAATGATTAACAAAGATATAATGCTACATAAAAATAACACAGAAATGTACACAAAATTGGACATACAGATCAGAACTGACCTGCCGAGCTGCTGCCGAGCTTGGCGTGCTTCTCAGCACCACGGAAGGTTCCAAGTGTCTGCAGTGCCGTCTCATCAGTTAGACGCCTCCCTTCCTCGACGTTTCGCCCCGTTCTGCCTAAGACGTCTCTGGGGGGTGGGGCAACGGAGCAGGCGTCCCTGCTCCGCTTCAGGCACTGTCGCCACTTCTCTGGAAGGACTTCCACGCCTTATCCTTTCTCCTCAGCCACAACACGAAACTGCTTCTTTCTGCTTCTTCAGACACCTGTCTAGTGAGCTTTGTCTGGGCTTTTCCCCTGATGTTGAAGTCCCTGCACAGACGCATGAAGGAAGTCCCTACAAACAATACAAAGCAGACATATTGGGGACAAATTAGATTTAACTAGATGCGCTGTCCCACACCCCGTTCCCGTGACATTTCAAGGACTCAAGTGCATTGTGCTAAATGTTGTAAATCAGGAGGGTATGAAACGGTTACTTTTAGTAAATGAAATCTTAGGTAAGACACATAATTCCTGTGTTTCTCCAGCAATGGCCGTGTTGCAGGGGAAGAGGTCAAGCTGAAATGGCTGACCATCCCAAAGAACACGCTGATTGTCATTCCCATTCTTGGGATCCACTACGACCCAGAGCGCTGGCCGGAACCAAACAAGTTCATCCCTGAAAGGTACAGTCCGTATTATGGCTCAGAACTCTAACATCATGTTGACCACATTAAGCAGTAGCGACATTACTATAGCTGCAGTACGTACAAATCAGATCCGGTCATTGTTGCGTATGGTCACCGAAACTTTGGCGTTTGAGGGGCAAAAACATTTAAAATGCATGAAAAGCAACATTTTGATTGCATTTAATGTACGACAACATCGTGAAAAATAGGAAAGATAGTAAAGACAAAAAGATAAGACAGCACAAAGTCAGATTCGAACCCGGTTCAAAAAAGGATCCTAAAACCCTCGAAACATCATAGTGACTTGACTCAGTCTAAAGTTTGGCATGATATGACATTGACCGTTTCAAATGGCAACGACCGTTTACAAGACAAAATTCATGCGTATCGAAAGCCCAGAAAATTCTAGACGGTCGAATACACAGTTCTTCCCTGGTACAGCTATCCCCCGAAAAGAAACCGCCACGCTCTAGCTTGCATGCTCGGCCAGCTAGGACGTCTATGGAGGATGTTTAAAGTTAAAACTTTTGGTCCAACACAAAAAAGTTTTCTCACCTAGAGCTTTCGACCAGTCAGTCTGGTCTTCCTCTGAGTCAGTAGACTGACCCAGTGAAGCTTGTCACGTGGCTTCTTTGAAGTGTGACGTCAACACTGGGTCAAAGGTATCTGGTAGACGATGTCGGCCCCCGTCACGGTTAAAGAAGTGAAGGATGGTGGGCCATGGAGGATGTTAATGTGCCATCGTACTTTGCATCAGTTGGATCTACCAACCATTAGTTTTTTTTTATATTCCAACATATAATCACAAGACGTGGTGACGGCACACATTTTTTTCAACTTATATTAATGTCGCTGTAGGTTCACCAAGGAGGAAAGAGAGAAGAGGGACCCGTATGACTGGCAGCCGTTTGGGGCGGGGCCGAGGAACTGTATCGGGATGCGGCTGGCGATGATGGAACTGAAGGTCGGACTGGCCAAGGTGCTGATGAAGTACCGCATCGTCACCGGACCGGACACTGACGTACGTACCGCATCCAGTTTAGCACGTCGGCAGAACGTACTGCATCCGCGTGAAACCCGTAATGTATTGTGCATAGCACTTCAACATGATGTCTCATATAATAAGGTCTTATGCGCGCATATAAGGTTAACGTCCCGTCTGTAGTTTCAAAATGTTATGTACGAAAAGATTTCGTCTGCAACAGGTAAAATTCTTATGACCAAAAACCCAACGAAATCCGTCAAAAATCAGGGTTTTGCACAGGCACAGTAATTGTTCTGCCGACGTGCTATTCAGTACTTTTGTTGATATGGTTTGAAGCATTCTGTACGTATTCATGAAAAGCTTAAATCAGCCTGCAGTCCGCCTTTCACTGAGTTTATGAGGGAAGAGGTAATTCAGACAAAATATGTCAAAAAGATAAAATTTACATCATTTAAAGTCCTAATAAATATCTGTGCACGTATTTTACTCATACACGGTACAAAAACATACATGTGCATGTATTATAAGACTGAGAGCTTATATATGCCATATAGGTCGTGTCCGTTTGTTTCTGAGGGCCGTTAATTATAGGATTAATGACCCGCCCGTACAAGTCATACATGCAATATATCTCTCCCCATCACAAATTTAAAATAGCTCGGTTACTTTGTTTCTTGTTACGTTGAATGTTGACTTTGATGTGCTTTTCTTAGATTCCATTGAAGATCATGAAGTACAAGCAGTTCCCCACCCCTGAGAACGGGATCCGGCTGAGGGCGGAGCCGCTGTGTCCTGGAAGTGACTGATCCATTTTGGTTCCCGGAAAAGAAAGACCGGGGCATTTTCTATCATGCTTCGATTCCATAGAATGGTACATTTAGGAAACTCAAACATATATACACAATTCAATCTGACAACAGACTCGCAGGCAACCTTACTGGATGCCCGAATTGCTCTGTGGTCAACACAAAATATCGTTAAAATATGCTGTTAAAAGGTATTATTGTTAAAACATTATTGATTACACATTGATAAAATTTATATCAATTATAGATATTCCTCTGCTTAAGACATTACGCAGTTCCGGAGTTGTAGTTAGTTTGACAGTCAATATGCATATTTCAAATCGTCACATTGGGCAGTAATAAGAGTTCGGTAAAAAGGTACAACAACAACATTAGGAATGAATCACCTTTACATTGTCCTTTCAGTGGACACTCTGTTGCACTATGTATTTGTAGGTTATGTGTTATTTAGTAGGTTAACCATGTAGGGCAAAGCGCTGTTTCTAAAGCGTTCACAGCATGTCACATAGTAACAAATTGATGACATTCCAGTTTATGAAAGTATAGCATTGATGTGAAGTTGAACTTAACGGTGCACACCCCAGTTCTTCCACGACCACATTGGGTCCACAACTCGGGTATAGTCAAGGTTTGGGACTTTTTGCCAGCACCAGTCTTTTCTGCCAGAAATGTTTTTCTATGGGATACGCCTACACCAAAAATTCCCAATTTTGTGCAGTAATTTTGGGGTGAAAATAAATGAATGTTTTTTCTGTTGATTGTACCAAAATTATAGAGGCTGAACAAACCAAACTTAGTTGGTCTATTACAATTAGCCGCTACGGCTCACCAAAAAGGCATGCAGACGATCATACATATTAACATAAGGTACCACGTATGGCATCCTCCAATATTACTATGAGATTAATCTTCCTGACAAAAGAGTATGCAGTGTGGGATTTTGCAATCATCGGTGGAATTTCTAGCGTTTGGGCATTGAAATAATATTGCTCTGTATGTACATGCCGGGTTGTTACATGTCAAAGACAAAGTGTGCTTAAAATTGACTATTTGGATCCAATGAAAGAAATCCTGGTAGAGAAGATGATAGATTTGTGTATATCAATGATGACTGTTTATTCACTGTCTCTTGATGAAAATGAAACGAAGAAGCCATTATTGTTGTCACTCAGAATTATCTGCCATCTTGTATATAGTATATTCCAAACATGGGTTAACAAAGTTTTGAAGAAACGAAAGTGATCCTGGACCAGCCTAAATAAACTCGATGAACAGTCGAGCTACTCTTCCACTGTTTTTGAACAGACGAGATTGTTATTCAAAGATGTTGGTCTTACTGATACTCCCCCCCCCCCTCAAAAAACCCCCTTGTGGATCTAGTTGGTTCTCTGGGAAACCTTCATTATGCGGTGCGACATGTTCTTTGGTTAATTAATATTTAATAATTGCAAGAATTTCGTAATAACTGTTGTTTACTGGAAACCTTTGTGTCGATATCCTCCGTTCCTTGTTGCATTGTGGGGTGGTATTCGGCGCTTCACGTCAGAGGCGACTGACAAGAATGTTCTAATACCTATTAAACTCTTCATCCACGGAATCATCTCGAGTCGGCGTCAGCGTCACAAAGACTCGGGCTGCAAGAGTTATTAAAAACTTCATGTAAGGATGAATACCTTACACGTCAGAAGAGAGTTTCGTGTACAAAGGTTGCTAACAAACAACATTTTTTCTCACTATAGTCTATAGCTAAGGATATCACGTTCTAACTCCTGAATAAATTGGCTGTCTTTAGCCAGTGTTTTCCATTGAGTACAGAGCTGCCTCGTTTCTCCGTTCAGCTAGTCAGAAAGTAGAACACTAGTCACGGCTAAGCGACGGGTTTGTAAGCTGTCAATATGGAAGAAGACACGGACGTTTCGTCAGTAGAAGACGACACGAACCATGTTCTGTCCATCGGCTCAACATCTCGCGATCTGCAGACGGCGTATCTCATCATCAGTCTGGTGCTGTCTGTGGGATGCGGCCTGCTGCTCATCTTCTTGGTTTGGAAGAAAGAGTATCTCCGAAAGCCCAGCCACTACCTGCGGTGTAACCTGGCGGTAGACGACATCGTCTTCACCGGCTGCCTGGTTCCCGTCCGTGTCTACGCACTTTTCCGGCAGGACGCCAGCGGGGGACAGACGTGGTGCTCGGCTGAACTACTGTTAGTGCCCGCAGGCTTGTTATCTAGGCAGTGTACATACCTCATGATGGCAGTAGATCTGTACTATTTCGTGTGTCATCCCCTACACTACCATGACAAAGTCACGACCAACCGCGTGGTCCTGGGCATCTTGGCGTTCAGGGCCTTCTCCTTCGTCGGCGGACTAGCGCCTGTGGCCTTGGGCGGACTGCCCGAATACAACCTGCGTTGTGAGGCGGAGCCTGCGAACAGTACATCCTTATCTGCCATCATCAGAAGCATGATGTTACTATTCTTTTTACTTGTTGTTCTCTCCGTCCTGATCATCTACTGGCGTATCTTCAAGGAAGCCAGAAGGCAGCAGGAAAGGGACGAGAACCGTGACCTGTGGGTGTTCCAGACCAAGGCGTTCAAAGTGATGGTGCCGCATGCTATCGTGTTGACTGCATCCACAGCCACTCTCGGTTTCCGCGTAGCCATGGCACGGGCTGTGATCACAGAGGAACAGATGTCCCTACGCGGCCTGATGATCGCTGAAAGCGCAGCCATCGTCCTGTACTTGACGGTATCGTCCGTGGCGGACCCCGTCATCTACAGCTTCCGGCTGCCGGAGTTCCGCCGAGCCTTAAGGGAGCTGTGCGGATTGCGGACCAACGCCATCCCTCCGCCGGCAGCACCGGTACGGCGACATCACCAGGGCGACGCGGAGACAGCAACGGGCACCGGTCCCGCGCGGCGCGGGGCACAAACCTCTTCAGTGGGCCTGATCATGGAGCACACGGCGGAGGACTTGCCTTCCGACCAGGCAGAAAAGCAGGCAACACAGGCAGACACGATCCCCGGCGACACCGCCTCGGGGCGACCGTTCCGGCTGACAGTGAGGGCGGAGGTGCACGCCGAGCCGAGGCCACGTCCCGGACAGGAGGACGGGACGGTAAACCTCCCCGGGCAGGTACACACGGACGCCGAAGAAGAAGACGTCCCTACTCTAACTACTACTGCCCTACGGACGGCCACACCGACGAGCCAACAGCAGGACACACTTTGGACCACCCACCATCGCGTCCGAAGTTGGCATGGGAGTAAGATACAAACCAGGGCAACAAATAAAGACTAGTTCTGAAGACGAGACGGGACGTACGAAACAAAGATACAGTGAAACGAAACAAGACTGTGGAATAGATGTGGACAAATCAGGAACAGAAGCATCCAAGGACAACTGTAAAACTT